CTCAAAAGGGTCAATTTGATAAAAAAAAATTGGTATTTTACTATTTTGATATGAAAGATCGAAGCTTCCTCAAACCGAAGGCCTTCTAGAAATTGACATAATACAATAAATTTACTGAAAATCGCCTCAAAGGGGTCACTTTGATACAAAAAATTGGTATTTTACTATTTTGATATGAGAGATCGAAGCTTCCTCAAACCGAAGGCCTTCTAGAAATTGGCATAATGCAATAAATTTACTGGAAATCGCCTCAAAGGGGTCACTTTAACACAAAAAATTAGTATTTTACTATTTTGATATGAGAGATCGAAGAAAAATTACAAGTCAAAGTATGAACATCAATAACCTCTGAATTTCTATAATATAAACAACTGATAAAAACATGTGAAGTGTTGAATAGAGAAAGAAAGATAAGCAAGTTACCACCGACATATGACACATATGAATCAAATGGTCACAAAATTTATTTAAAAGCATCTGAAGCAGAGTATATGAAGTCTAAGAAGCCTGTTCCCTTTAGAAATCCCTTACCTGTCAGGAGCTCAAAATCTAACAGTAGCAGGAAACCAATTATGGCTGCCTTCCCGTTTATCAATTCATTCTTTCCAGTGAATCCGAACCCCTCGTAACCTTCATCAACTACCATTTTCACCTGAGGAAACATGTAATAAATGTTGAAATAAGGGGACTCAAAACAAATAACTAATTCCATGCTTGTAAGGTGGTCTGGATTATTATGTTGTTTTGCTACCTCTTCAATGTTGATATCAGTTGCAGTCACACCAGGTTGAGGCTTTCCACTAAAGACAATCTCTGCAGCTGCATCAGATTTCACACCACTTTTTAAGCTGATGTAAATATTTTCTTCGTCTGTTTTTACAGGATAAACGTATAGTGTTCTCAAAGCAGGTGTTAGGACTCGCAGCACTGGGTTCTTTGGATACCATTCCTTGATGGCTCCTGTACGAAGATCAAATGTGCTATCAGTTGTTGGGCAAACTATACAGCCATCCTGTGAAATGAAAGAAAAACCATCATTAGACCTTGCTTTCCATCATTCTAGAAAAGATAACACAAAGATTTACGACAGTGAGCCTTTTATCTCCAGCATTACTGAGGTTTCCGAAACCAATGACAGGCAAAAATTATCTTTGCAACAAGGTTGCTGATATGAAATGGCCAAGTCCTGGTTCCTATGTACTACAGCTAAACTTTTGGTAGAAAAAGTAAAAATTAAATATAAAGGAGAAGCATTTACTTTTATGACTCAACAAGTGATCTATATGATAAGATGAATTTAAAATGTGCACAGATCCTAGAAGTGCTAGATTGCAGGTTGTATAATTTCATCATTCTTGGTTACCAGCAATGACAGGCATTGTGCTGTGCCTCTGGTATCTCCGAGCCACAAGGATCTCACATCGCAGGTCTGAATGTGAAACCAATCCAGCCCTTTCTTTCATAACAAGAAAAAAGAAAGTATTTTTCTCTATCTCCCTTTCCCCTCCCACCATAGATGGGGCAAGCGTGTGTGGGATACACAAACACAGAAAAGAGGAAACCCCAGAAAGCAAGTTTTTACCAAAACTGTTCGTAATAGTTTGACACCAATTTTGCTTTTTAATTTTCCATTAGCTTCACCAAACATAATCCTATGAGAAATAGGATACTGTTACCAATAATCACCAACATCAATTTCTACCACCTCAAACAATCAGCTTCTATACCATATTACCATCCCTTTTTCCTTCTTTCAGTCTCAGTCAACACATGTCCAAAAACTTATCAAGTCCCTTCCCACCTTACTTCTCTATTTTCAAGCCAAAAGAATCTTTCATTTTGAAAAAAAATAGAAATCATAATATAACTGATACATACCCTCTTCAGCCTCCTAGAAAGTAATTTTCATGGTCTACATTATTCCAGCTCCAAGCCCCAAAGCACATATTTTATGGTGAAATAATTAAACATACAAATTGCAACAAAAAGAAAAAAGTGCCTATCTTGTCATCGCTTTCTGGGAAAAAAAAAATGAAACTTTATGTTCACTGCGAGTGTCTATATCGTGGGAATAAATGATTCTACACTAAAATTAACTGCAATCCATTCTCATTGTATAGTTTCAGCTGTGAACTTCCAACAGCGTAAAATCATTTATTCCAATTTAGTTCCAGAATTACAGGTGAAATAATTTAGCAAACCGCTTAAGAAAATGATTCATGGGCAACCTTTTAAATGCATCTATTAAGTGCATCTATTTATTTAATCACATGTAAAAGTTGTATAAATAAGTTACACATAAAAGGTTTGTATCACTGTCCAACAGTTTACAGTTCTAATCCTCTGTATAATGACAGAGCAATCCCATTGATTCAAACTCCAAAATTTAATATGCATTCAACCCATGAAATAATCATAATTCACGAACAGGAAAACAAAAAGCGCACCTGAGTGAGCTTGGCATTGAGCAACCCTTCACTGTAAGCTCCCTCAGCGGGAGACCTATTCTCAATGGCGAAAACCTCATCCTTGTACCATAGAAGCAATATCGTCTCCTCCTCTTGAATTATCACCCGCCGCTCCCCCTTGGGCAGCGCCGACAGCGGCACTACCGGCACCCAGTTCTCAGCGCTCCCACCATCGTCACCAGCAACAGACTCTTGAGGCACCGATACTTCGGTAGCCTTGCACGCCACTCTGCAAGAAGATTGATAGGAAATGTGACAACTAGTCTGGTGATTGGCGCGGAGGAATATGGAAGGATGGAGTGGAAGTTTGTGGTGGACGACGGCAGTGAGTGGAAGGTTGAAATGGTGATTGCGGGGAATAGTGGTGGCCATAGCCGGATGAGGAAGTGGGAGAGTGGGAGAAAGTACGAAAATGAGAGAAATTGCATGGCCACAAAAATGTGGATAACTACAGAATGGAAGTAGCGTTTTTCGCCTTCAGTGTTTGGCACTTTCTCTTTTATTCATGGGTGTTCCAAAATAAAAAAGAAAAAAAAGAAAAAGAAAAAAGAAAAAAAAGCTGAATTGTGCTAAAACGTATTAAGATAAATAAGGATGTCAACGAGATTTCATGGGACCGAAGAGGTCTTTCCCTTCTCTCTTCTCGTGAATGGTGAGAATAGGTATTCCCTAAATGATGGGTACCGAGATTTCTACGAGTATTTTTAATGAGAGGTAAATTTTACTTCTCATTCTCATTTTACGTGGGGAAGGGAGATCCTTGTGCATCAATTAACAATCAATTAACAGAATTAATAAAACGTTATAATCAATGTTAGGTGATGGTTATTTTTTTCGATTCGTATCGACGATGAGCTAAAAATATCACAATATAAAGTAAGGGTTAAAACTTACCAACTTTGTAAGGTAAAAAACTAAACCTTACCAATTTTATAAAATAAAGTGTTAAAACTGTTATATTATAAGATGAAAAACTAAAACCTATTAATTTTGTAAGGTGAGAAGCTAAATGTTGGTTTTTGCCAATAAATAACAATCCAACACATATAGCTAAAAGGTTAATGATGGCTTAGGTTATGTAAAATTAAATTAAATTAAATTTTTATTAAATTGAATTTGAGTTTGAAAGTTAAATTAAATTTAAAATAAAATTAATTTATATATTTTTTTTAATTTTTTACGGAGATCCTATGAGCAGAGAAAATTCCCTGCAAAATTTCATGAGGAAAAAATATCTTCATTCCCACCCACAAGAAATAATATTTCTTCATGTCCTGACCTCACGAGGGAGATCCCACGAGATTTCACTTCGAGACAAATTACCATCCCAAACTATAAATGAAATGGTCATGACTCATGACCAGTGTGTTAAAAGTTTAGTGCTTAAAATTCTCAAACTATAAATGAAATCGTCTAGGATGTATGCTTGAGAGCCAACTCGATAGTAAATCGAATCATTACATCAATGTTACAAACTCACAGCTTCATTTTAAATGACAGCGGCTTGTGCAGTTGTGCATGACAAGCACCACTGCTTGGAAGATTGCCTAAGGAATTAATGGCAAAAATACAAATATGTTTGGCACAACGTAATGTCTATCTTTTTTAAAAAAAATTCACAATAATACCGACTCTACATCATATAATTATACCCACAAAAACGGATGATGAAAATTTTTGAAATTGCACACTACTTTAACTATACGAGTATAATTTTTATGCTAACCTAAGCATCCGTGTTCAAGTGTCTAAACAAATGTGGGAAGGCACCATTAGGTTTTCAGACCTTGGAAAGAAGACGACAGAATCCTGAAGAGTCCATCTGGGTTATCAGCATGTACCTGTCAAGATATTGAAATGGAGCATGAGCAATTTTGTGGACCATATACACCAGGAAATGCATTTCCGAAAGAAAATTGAGATATTTGCAAAACATACCCAGTGCCCGGCATCTTCAAGGACGTGCATTTCAACTCCACCTCCTTCGTCAGAAGCAAGCTCCTCAGCAGCATGTATTCGCTGAAGATCTTCAAGGGCCCACCGGTGTAAACTCCTTTCTGCCTTCAAAAAGTTGACATGCACACCTCGAGGTAGATTTTCCACAAATTTCCTATTTTTATCATTTGAGGAAGGAAAAAAAATTAACTCAAGTGACAAGATTCAGCATTAATGCACAGAAGCTAAATTGGACATAGCCCAAACTCAACAATTGAATCTAGGGAAGGCTACCATAAATTTGTTTCTTCATAAGATCTGTACATTTCTGCAATTCCATCGAGGTCAAACACCCATGAGAAACTTGATGATGATGAACCAGGAACACCATTTGGTCGGAGGTTAGTTACCACCCACTGAACATGAAATAAGAAATTAACAACAAAATTATTTATGAAGACCAAATAAAGCAAGGCATAAGTTACACAGCAAAAGCAAGAGTTGAAGCAATAATTTAGTAGCAGTTCAAATAAATATTGGTGGTTGGAGATATTCCTGTGCCACATCCATAGAAAAGCCTTCCTGTACAAGGGCATTCACAATTTCCTGCTTTGAGGAGACCTACCTTAAAGAGAGATTGTAATAAGATTATTGTTACACTCAAAAAAAGAAAAAGAAATAGAGATTGAAGATGAAGAGTAAATTTTTGGGAGCTGCTTAAGTAGGACCATAATTAGGTACAAAGGGACACACTGAAAAGATAACAACAAAGTGGAAAAAGGAACTAACAAGTTTAAAAGAAACAAAATGTTGTAGATAAATAAATAATTTTCAACATAACTCAATGCTAGGACAACAAATAAACAGCATAAAGAAAGCAAATGTTGAACCTTTATTACATTCTATCTTCCTTATCTCACTTGTTTACTTTTTTTCATTCTGTGTTTTATTAACTGTTCTGCTAGCAATCTTTTTTTTATCGTTGTTCTAAACTGATTATTGGACCCAAGTTACCACCCATCTGTGATCCTATCTGTGGTTGCCTTGTTGGACTAATTTTTTGGCATATCATTGGCATATGTACATATCTGAAACAATAGAAAATAGCCAAGAAAGTGACATACTGACATGGCAACTAATAACTCCTTACCTCCTTAGGCAATTTACTTAAGAAACATATTAGTTCTGCTGGATGGTCCTCACCATCTCCACCAGATCGCACTTTTCCAGGAGTAGCATCTAGAACCCAAACCTATAGAAATTTATGAAACAAACCAAAACAAAAGATAAAGCAGAACAGAAATTATGGGTGCAGTTAAGGGGACTAGCAAAAGAAAAATGTACATTTGCTTTGATCTTATAGCCACGTTGGTTTGTCCAAGAAAATTTTATTATATAACCTGAGATTAGCTAGACGTCAAACTAAGAAACTTTGCAAAGCCCTAGAGAAGTCAAGACATCAGTTCTATACTTTAATTCCCTAGACTTTGCTTAATATCTGCCTAAGACAGTACTGACATCTAGAACACAAACCTATAGAAATTTATGAAACAAACCAAAACAAAAGATAAAGCAAGACAGAAAGGATGGGTTCAGGGAAGGGGACTAGCAAAAGAAAAATGTACATTTGCTTTGATCTTATAGCCACATTGGTTTGTCCAAGAAAATTTTATTATATAAAATGAGGTTAGCTACACGTCAAATTATGAAACTTTGCAAAGCCCTAGAGAAGTAGAGACATCTGTTCTATACTTGAATTCCTTAGACTTTACTTGATATCTGCCTAAGATAGTACTGACATGTGAGTGTGTGACAAGAGGAATACAGTACCAACTTTTAAAACATCTAAGAGCCAGAAAACTCACTCTAACAGGTCGTGCAAGTGGCTTTGCAGCTTGATCCACCATACTCAAGACAACTGCCAAGTTGATAAGTGAGTGTATTAGCACAAGAATTACCCAATTTAATTAAACTATCATTACATCATTACTAATAACCAAGGCAAGTGAATTGCTCAAAACAATTAATGTACCTTTTCCTCCAAAGCTGTGACCCACTAGAACTCGTGGTGTTAATCTTAGTTGTCCAATCTGGCCCAGCAAAACACAAAGGAAAATTGCTATTAGAAACAAGAAAGATATTAGTCTCAAGTGTATGTCATCTAGTGTTCTATTTTGTCTTCTCTTTTAGGTAAATATCATATGCAGACAACCAATTTTGGGGAACGAAACCTATACTGTTTAATAGTAATCAACTAGGAAAATTAGATATGCAGAGCCAAACAAAATAAATTATTAATAAAGGTCCATCTAGTCTAATGGGTATATAGCCTTTTTCAGTTTTCTTGTAACACATGACAAGCCACCTTCATCAAGGACCAATGTGTTGCTCAACCATTGTGAAATATCCTCCACTATATTAACTAAGCATTCTGCAAGACTGATATAAAAAAATTGGTATGCTGCAACTGAATTCAATCTATTTAGAGACATACTTTCATAATAATGAAGAGATGAAATCAACAATAAATCTTACAAAACTGGAGAGTTAATTCAATTGAACAGATAAATGATGCTCACTGTTAAGTTTTTGAATAAGACTTCATTTATCAGGTTCAAAACCCCTTTTCATAACAGTTCCAGTTGCTAAACTTCATTGGTAATTTGGTATAACTGACACAGAAAGATGACACCAACTAGCACTAGCTAGTCACGGCTCTCAATGAGACCTATAAAAATACCAAAGAAGCAAATAATTGATGGCTTGTTTTGTGTCTTCAAATACACGGAATGGTATCTTAAATCACTACACCCAATTTCTGGTTTAAGTAGTGGAGCATTCTTAATGTGTATTTTATGTAAGATGAATATGGATCACAATTGCATAAAATTTTGTTGGTAAATCACAGTTGACTAAGATGAATAGGAATCAATATACTAAACAAAATGCTTTACAATATTCTTGCAATCAACTCTATGCTATATGGCAAACAGGTTGCAGAGTGAACAAGATTTTGTTTTATTTAGAACAAAACAATTCAATGATAATGAAAAAGCATAAAACTATAGTCAGGCCCAAGAATCACATACTAGCTTTAGCACATCCAAAGCAGTTGAGGCAACAGTGTGTGGACCCCTCTTGTTGATTGATGCTGAATCGCCATGGCATCGCAAATCTACTAAAAGAAACTGCACCAACAAAACACACACTAGCAAATTGAGATTCTGGAAACTTTCAGAAATAAAATGGTTTATGGTATTTGATCAAGCACAAATGATTAGGATATATATATGAGTAAACATTGTGAAAAAAAGACAAAGTAAAATAGTATACAATTATGCTTACTCTAAAGGAAAGTTAGATAATATTTATATTTATTCTATTTGCAAAAAAGGCCCTCCACTCATATGGCAAATTGTCCAAAATAAAAGTATGAATTACAGTTTTTGCAAAAGAGAGGCCATAAACATGAAACTTACAACCTTAATCCAATAATTCCAAGGATCAATAACATGTAAAAATTGAAAGTAGAATCGGAAAAAAAAAAGAAAAAAAGAAAAAAAGAAAAAAAAAAAAGCTACACCCCAGTAGAATATAAAATACCTGCCATGTTGGAAATTCTCTTGCCAGTCTCCGGGCAAAAGTTCCTGTAACAAAGAAACTATTGATAAAACATACTGGAGAGCAGAGCATGGAATTCCCAAGGTATGAAGTGACAATCAAGCCAATATAGGAGGAATACTCTTTCCCCAACAACTCATATAAAATTTTTCAAACGAAGGTGCACAGACTATGCTCTGCTAACACTTTAAGATGGATAAATAAATATCATCAGCTTCTTACAAATATCCAGAATGCCTACCCCAGTTCTTTCTGCTACCCAGAATGCCATGCAGAAGGATAGCTGTTGGTGTATCTGGTGCTGACTTGCCACTCATCAAACGCCAATTCACCTGTGTATGAAGTCTTTTATCAAAGCCACACACATTTTACTTAGGAAATTTCCTATAATAAGAAATTAATAACAGAACTTACCAGTGCCCCTTGAACAAGTTCGTAAGCCTGTAAGCAAACATGGATGGTGAGTCCAAGCCAAACAAACTAAAATTAATGCTCTATTTTACTACAAAACCATCCTTCTAAAAAATTGCAGTCACATATCAGCAAACTTCTACATAGCCAAGATACATCTGTTACTTTACCAATGTCCGAGGAGGGTCAGCCACATTTCTGCCACGCGCAAGCCTTTCATCCACCATTGCCATACGCACGCCTCCATGTCTGCCTACTCTGCGGCAGCTTCGAAGAGAAATCCGTGAAATGCGAAATGAATCATGCTACATTGAGAGGAAAAGAAAAGAAAATGATTTAACAAATAAGAACATTACAATAGCAGCCGTATTCGATTTCAATTTCTTTTGATTTGAAACAATTATACATTTAGTTTCCATATTCTATTCAATTTTACAAAAAGTTACATAATTTAATGCAGTATATTGTGAACAAATCAACAATATACTGAAAAAAAAAAAATCAAAATTCTCTAACCTCAAACGGTTTGGTAAGCCTAATTCCAGCCCTAGAATTGGTCCAGGCTAGCGAACGAGAACTCAATTTTGCATCTGCAAAATTGATCCCGTTTCCACCGCGACAGGTCGGCGTAAAGCTCAACATTTCAACCGATCACGTCGAACCTTTTTCCGGTGTTGCCAGCCGAACGAAGTCCACAGCGGAGACAAATCGCCGGAACTTCCAGGGGCCGGAAAATGTAGAGATCGGGAGGATAGAGAAAAAGAACTTTAGAAACAAATGTGTGTAATTTAGGAAAGAGGGGAAGTATGAAGAGAGGGAGGCGGAGGTATCGAAGCCTTTTCCGCTGTCGCTGAGCTACCTGTAAAACGACAGGACAAGTGTCTGCTTGCTGTGCGTTTATCGTTTTTTCCAAACAAGAAAAGGAGGCGTCGCGTTTTGTGGACGACGTCGACGTAGGTACCCCTTTTTTAGCGAGAAATGACGGAAGTGTCCCTCGGACGGTGCGAGGCACCGTGGGTGAGACACGTCCGGGGTCGGCTACGCGGCGAATGGTGTTTACACTTTACACTTTACAGTTTACTTATAATAACTGTCTTATAATAACTGCCTGACTCCCAATTCCCATCGGCCTAGGAGGCAATTATTGGCTATAAAATTTAACTAAGTGCACCCTAATTTTAGGTGATGGGTTTAAATTTTTTTCTTTAAATTTGCATTGGTTTAAAAAGAACTTTTTTTTTTAACATAACGAAAATGGATCAATTCAAACACTGCCATACGGCATCTACAGGATAAATAAACAGTAAAAATACAACAGGAGCAAGAAATTAGAGTAGACCCAAATCCAGAGGCCGAAGGGAGGTGCACATGACACTCGAACAACCACTAAGGACCCAGTTATTCCGCGGCCTTCGGTCGAGCGATCCGAACGGGACACCCTTCAATCTACCCATGTGGAAGGTGCGCCAGGCTCCCGGATGCCGATGCAGAGACCCGATCCGACGGAGGCAGCAGGTGGGTCGCGAGGTTGCCAGATCTAGGATCCCCCGCGTGCAACCCCACCGAGAAGCTGCCGGATGGAGGGACCACCGCCGAATCCGCAAACAACCCAAAAAAACAGCGAACCCCTAACAAGATCTGCAGGAGAGAGCGAGAGTCGCCAGATCTGAAAAACAAACTATACAAGAAACATAAAAACCAAACAATAAGAACAAACAAGAAAACCAAAGGGGTCACCAAAGGGGACCCAAAAACCGACAGACCCGGGAGGGTCGTCGGAGGGGGGAGCACAAGGCGGCTCCAACCATGCTTGAACGGCCAGGAAACCCGGCGGCTCAAGCATCAAAACCTCGGAAGCTCAAAGGCTTCCGAGCAAAAACAACACAGCGGCGGAGAAGGGAGGCAGAGGCAGGAGAGAAGGGAGAGAAAAGGGGGAAAGAGAGAGAATTGGTTTAAAAAGAACTTAAAATATAATTTACTGTCAACTAATAAAATGATTTTTTATCTTATAATCTATATCCCTAGGGTTTCAAAGGCGCGGCAGGTTTCTCCTTTAGGATTTCTCTTTGGCAAAGAAGCCCCCTCTTTTCTTCTCTATTGCCTGTCTTTCTCCCAAGGAAGTTTGTACTGGTATCGACCGGTACTTATCGGTTTTTGGGTAGACCAAAACAGAATGAGTTAGAATTTTGTTTTGGTCAAAATTTGGTAATTTCGATCAAATTTTGATGTACCGGCCGAAATTTTGTATACTAATCAATACATTAAAATTTAACTGGTACATTTTGCAAGAATTTAAAAAAAAAAAAAAAAAGATTCGCTAGCCAAAACGACATTGTTTTGGCTAGGGGCAGCTTAATCTCTCCTTTGTTCTCGCACCCAACTGTCCTGCACATTTTTCTATTTTTGGTATAATTACCGATACAATTCAATTCAAAATTTCAAATTTTAAAAAGGTAAATTTCATTTTTAGTCCTCAACTTTAATATTTTACATAATTTTCATTATTTAACTTTTTTATGTACTTTTTTAGTATATTCTTCATATTTTTTTAGTCATTCTATCAATTACCCCGTTAAGTTTATCTAAATACACACTTTTTTAATCCCTTAATTTAAAATGGATGGACGAAAAATATGCATATATTAGAAGTTGAGGGATTAAAAATGATCATTTTAAAGTTGTTTTTAGTTTATAGAAATATAATAGTTTTAAATATTAGTATATCTTATTTTATTTTAAAATTTGATATTTAATTTATAAAAATATATATTTAAAACAATAAATCCGAAATGATACGCGAAAAATTTGGTATCCGGTACATACCGTTCCAATAACAAAACCGGTACGGTATTGACTCCCTTGCTTTCTCCTTGCGCTTGCCCTTCCTTTTGCGTCTTTGTGTTTTTCCTCTCAGTTTTGACTCATGTTGTTCAAATCTGGGTTTAGATATGTGACCTGGTGTGTTGCGACGATAGTAAACGGTTGTGTGTGAGCTATGGCGAAATTGAGGGATGAGGTTTGGTAGTTCCATTAGCGATTTGGGAATGGCAAGTGGCAAAATTGAAAAATTGCTCAATCAGATTTGCCTTACCAAGGATGCAGATGGCTTTCTTCCCTTGATATCAACATGGAAACCATATGATTCCCAGTCAAAAAAGCTGTGGTTGGTGGGAAAGATATTTTCCTGGCAAAGGTTTCACGCGGGGTGATTGGTGTTACGAATACATCGATGGACCCTTTCCCTCTACCTGCCAGTTAAGGGTCCCTCTGGTTGAACAAAGCATTGTAGTGTCAGAAGACACTACATCGTCAACTCCATTAATCTCCTATATTAGGACGGATGGTACAATAGATGTGATTGCTAGTAGCATCAAAACGCTCCAGTGCATTCTTTCTATATCATTACATAGCTCTATTATATCCCTTTGACATATAAAAGTTCTCAATTCCTATTTATCTTATTTGTATGGAGCACTTAACTCTATGAGTTAGTGTCATAAGTCCTTCTTAGGTTTTCTTTTTCAAAATCAACCTATACGATAATGTATAGGTTGCATTATAATTGTTTTCCAATTATTAATAGAACTATACTTCTTTAAAAAAAAAAAAAAACTTACCATGGCCTAATTTACTTGCTTTATGGAATTGAAAATAAGAAAACATAAATCAAGATATTTTG